GCCCTCCAGCGCAGCCACTGGCGACCTGCAGCCACAAAGTCGCTTGTAGTGTGAACGCAGCTTTATTCTGCGCTGTCGCCTCCGCCATTTTCAAAACATGATGTATATATTGTCATTTTCTTTTCGACCAGCACTTTGCAACAACACAAACTTGTTTCCATAGCAACTTTCAGCATGTTTCCTATAACAACGTCTGGTGTTTAAGTTTTATGTGGCGTGAGAAAGTCACATAAACCACGCAAAATCCGATCGGAGCAGTCAGACTGAAACGGATTTCCAGAAATGCGATTAGAATAGGATTTCAATCCACATGTGAATGTAGCTCGAAACAGATTTGTGGTTTTTGGCCGTTCACACTTGCTATATCTGATCGGGTTTCAATCGGATATGCACAAAAATCGGATTTGGACTGACAGGTCTTTTGGGAAGTCGACAGTTGGACATATTCTATCTAAAATGATTTTAAACAGCACTTTAATAAATAATTTATTATTATTATACATTAATATTAATAGAGAAATGATGCAATATTAGTACTTTAAAAAATGTGGCATATTGTATGGCCATATATAAAAAAAGTGGTTTAGTGGTAGAAGTGTTTAAAATGATGAAAAACCTTTAAAAATTTGGATTTTTTTTAATTCGTCTGTTACTCCAATGTTCAGAAACATACAAATACAGCCTCAAACATACAATGAGGGTAAAAAAGGGGAAAAGAAATACAATCATGTCATGCAGGAAAGCAAATATACATAGTAGGGGGAATCAGGAGAGGTTATTAACATCTGCATAAAGTAATTTGACTTTTGATGTGTATCACAAGTGAGTTTCTTGAGTGGGAGTAATGCAGATATTTGAGAACAGGTGTTTAGCATGAGTCTCAAACATCCGATAGATAACAGATACAATTCCAAAGAGAAACAAAATGGCAAGATCTTGTAAGCAGTTATGTATTTTGGTCCAAAAAGGGATGTTTTTATCACAATACCAAAAGCAGTGAAGAAATGTGGTGAACATTTACAGAACCTAAATTTCATACTCTACCTCAACTACTACCTTCACTACTGTTCAAAAGTTTGGGGTAGGATAAAAAAAAATGAAAGGATTTAGAAAGGATGCATTAAACTGATAAAAAAATGACAGTGAATATCAAAAGATTTGTAATTTCAAATAATTGCTGTTCTTTTAAACTTCTCATTCATCAAAAATTTTTCCACAAAAATATTAAGCAGCACAACTGTTTTCAACACAATAAGAAATGTTTCTTAAGCATCTTCTTTGGCTGCTGAAAATTCAGCTTTGCTATCACAAAAATAAATTACATTTTACAATATATGAAAATAGACAGGTTATTTGAAATTGTAACATTTCACAAAATTAAAATTTTTGTTCAATTAAATGCAGCCTTGTTGAGCATAAGAGACTTCAAAAACATAAAAAATGTTTTACCAACCCCAAACTTTTGAAGGGTAATGTCATGTAGTTTATTTGTTTAGGTTTTTGTCATATTTGAGTGGGTATGTAGTTGTGTATGGTGGTTGGTGATTTTGTTTGGTTAGGCTTATATTTAGTGCTTAACCTGTTGTCTAACATTTGCTCTGGTGGCAGTCATAAGTATTTGGCCCCTGTGATGTTGAATGGCATGCGTGTTAACATTTCGCCTTTGTAGTGCAAGTGCAGATGCGTTTGGCTTTGGTCGCGCTAAGGTGTCTTTTGCGTACACATTTGTCTGTCATTGGTAATGTGTGTGTGATTGTGTGTGTGTTGGAGTTCTGAGTACTCTCTAATCCCCCCTCTTCATGAATACATTAGCGGAGTGTCTTAAACTCAGCTTAGCTGGCGGCTCTGGAGGCACATCACATCCTATTACCTACTTTAAATCATTAATGTGACATCGTTTTCACTCAATCTCCAAACACCCACGCTTCAAATCTGCACATTTCACTGAGCTGTCGCAGAAGCTCTGGAACTCACACACACACACACACACACACACACACACAGACATATGCATCATGTACGCAGACATGGTAACTGTAAAAATACATAAGCTAGCATGAGCTTACATACATGTAAAAACAGTAAATACACACTCTGAATTATGCAAATTACTTCCCTCAGATGATGTTGTTGCCTTATGAAAGCATCTTGCCCTCTTTTTTTTCCCGACACTCAGCAAAGACTGATATGTAGACAGCAGGAAAGATACCTCAACGAATCAAGATGTTTCTTTTCTGTACTTTGCCTCATACTGAGCGCGCACACTCTTACAAAACACTCTATTCAGTATTAGCTACAGGCAAAAAATCAAATATTTACAGTGCCAGGAGCTACGCTACTTCACTTAAAGACTTAAAGACTCAATTTTCCAGCCCACTTTCCACTGTGTTTATACGAAAATTTGGAGTACTTAACTCCCTCTCAGACAAACACTCAAGACAGCAGCAGAGACCCACCAGAGAGGAAACTCATTACAGGGCCAGAAAAGACAAGAGCTCTGAACCCACCAGCTTTTACAAAAGCATTAACATTAACTATCACATTTCATTACATAAAGTTTGTGATTTCCGAAAGATAACCTTACCTTCATCCATTTTCCTTTCAGTTGTTTCCATTCCACCATGCGTGTTGTGGTTAATTAGATCATTAGTTTCATTGGATGTGAGATCCATTATGCTCTCTACATCTGGCCTTCTGATTGGTGGTAAAATTGGGTTTCCTGCTTTTGAATAACATACTATAAGTACCCTAGTAAAACTACTATTAAAAGTTAGATGTGGCTTTTTAAGCAGCCTTGATTTGGGAAGCTTTTCATTTATTTTCTCCAGAGGCATTTCAGACATTTCTCTTCAGAGTTAGAAGCCATGAAACTAAGTCAAATAGATTCACAGCATTATAAGACTTGATTTGAAGCAAAAAAGTGTTTGAAAATGGGAAAAAAGACATTTCCTTTTTTATAAGGGAATGAACTTTGCCATCCCATTAAGCAGTGACATATTAGAATCAGAAATGATAGTACAACAACAATATAAAAATAAAAAGCATATTGGAAAACGTTCAAGACTCAATAATGCCTGTATAATCATAATGCCACTTTCTACCCATAGTGGGTAATGTAGTAATTTACTTAAAAAAAAAAAAAAAAGTTTTTTTGTGGAGAAAATTAATACGATTTTTGAGGGCAGCACCAGAACCTTGTTATTTTGACTAAAATCTAATCCAGACATACATCCACATAAAAGTGGTATTTTTATTGCTCTGGATGCTGTAATTGTATGATAACACTGGGCAATTTTTTGATTTGTGTCACAAATATTATTTCTAATTGAAATGAGTGCTTTAGAAAGTCTGGTATGAAAGTATTTTCAAATGATGGAACATCTTTGACCACCTACTTGAGGGGGAGTGATCAAGACAAACCCTTAAGATTTGTTAACAATATTGTTTAATTCATGAACACTCTTCTACAAATATTTGTAATCTCAGCAGGTGTCCAGTGTGACGTAGATCATTCCAGACTCATGCAGTGACGTTCAGCGCTGGGAGTTCCCTTTGTTTGGCCTAAAAATCTTGGGATTGCTTCATATGTTGGCACATGTATAAGAGTAGACAGATTATTTAGTGTGCAGTGTGGTGTTTTTTTTGGCAGTTCTGGACTGTCATCTAACAGTGCTAGAGTTTAATTATGGAGTTGGTGAGTTGGAGTAGGGCAGAAAAAGAAGCCACAGACACAGTAGAGATACAGAACACGTTGCTGTTTTTATTTGAGCCTTGACTGGCAGTAATACTGAAAAACGTCAACTTAGAACAGATGGTGGTAACCCACAGCTTGCTTTTTTTTCTTTTTTCCATAAGAGTACAGTAACTCTTGCTTTTATTGTGGCATGAATAACATCAATAAAAGAGAAAGAAATATACAACTTATATTACACTGTGTTATGAACAAAATATAAATCTATAACTCTATGCTATATTTACATAATTATCTTTCTTGATTTTCAAGTTGAAATGGTAAGTTAAGTACTTTTTGTTTGTTGTCATTTAACATTGTTTTGAGCTCCACACGTGACTTTGATTGTCTTATCAATTATTGTTCGTAATACAGGCCATCATCAGAGTATGTGTTCACAGACCATGCCGAAAAAGAATTAGTGACCTTGTATGTTAAACCTCCAGCATACGTGTCCCTATCGATTGATATGATTGTGGGAATTACTTGCAAGTGAAAGCATGGTCACACCAGATGGCAGCTATTCTGCGATTGTGACTTTCGTTATCTGACAAGGTGTGATTGTGATGTCACTATAGTGAGCTTGATTGACAGATGGAGACAGTGTGGAGCTAAAACAATTCTGGAGATAAAAACATCTAATATGGCCGTTCAGTGGAGCTTCACTGGAATCAGATCACCATTTTAGAAAGGTCATGTCTTCTGATTAAAAGGAATAGTCACCTGCCACTATGTCTTTTAAAACCTGTTTCACTTTTTTTTTCTTTTGTGAAACACAAAAGATGTTTAGCAGAATGTCCAAGCCGCTCTTTTGCAGTGGTGACCATGGTGTTCAAGCAAGATTTTCAGTGAATAAGGACTTCAAGTCGGTTTCTTTTACAAAGATATTATATGGCTTCAGCAGACTAAGGAATATAGTACAGTTTTATGTACCACTTTTTATGGTGATTTTTCTTTTTCTTTTCAGAGCCCCTGGTCCCCATCTACTCTCATTGTTTGGAAGAGAGCAGCTCGGAGCATCTGCTAAACGTCTCCTATTGTGTTCTACAGAAGTAAGTCATACAGGTTTTTGGCAAAATTTCATTTTTGGGCTGAACCATCCTTTCAAGGGTTAGTTGTTGTGTACTGTAACCCTGAACTGTAATTTGACACGATAGGTAAACAAATGTATTCATCTAAACCAATGATGTTCCAATGAAACATAAGGGAGAGGATGACAAATATCAGTAAACAAGATCCACGCGCTCTTTCTGTTCAATAACAATTGGGGTATAATATAGCTGTTTTCTTTATCTTCAGTAAAAGTAAAAGAGAATTAACAGATAGGAAACTTCACATTATACATAAACCATTACAAATAAAAATATCATGTTCTTCTTATTATGTTCGTCTCCGAGTGTCCAGAGTCCTAGTGCTTTAAGAAATGTGTTTGGAGTTCATGAATGATGCACGGAGGAGAAAAAGAAAATGAAAAAAAGAGAAATGTCTCTTTTCCTTCATATCAGCAGTTCACCGTGACCACTTTTTCAGAGATATACCAGCGTCAGAACAAGGATTAATTCAACAAAAAAAACGAGAACAAATAAAAAAAGGAAAACAAAAAACAGAATATTGAACATAATAATTAGATCTAAATACCTACCCAGCTAAATATAATGCTTTATCAAGCGCAGTTTCCATACGATCATAAAAAAAAAACCAACTGGAGGAAAATAATAAATTATACTGTACATAACTTACTAAACTTAGGAAATGCTGCCTATTCTTATAATTAATGTTAATAATATTATTACACTAGAGGCAGTTTTAATGAAAATAAAATACAGTATTTGCAAATACGAACTAAAACATTGACATGCAGAGTCTGAAACGGCTCCTCCCAACCTCGACAGCAGAGTGACGTTGACATGGAGGCAGAACATAAATACAAACAACAGAGCAGACGGGACTGGACCTCTTCGAACCGAATAGACTAGACAAAGACAAGCACGCAAAATGCGATCGGTCATCACTTGGCTAGCGCTGCAGGTGTCAGAGTACCTCAAGTAAAAATCTCAAGTAGGCCAGAAAAGTCTTAATATGTTTTTAGTTCTATGTGTGAAATCGTAATATATATTTTGATATGTGTTTGCGAGTTGACAGCTTTTGGGTAGATGTTTAATGGTTGGAGTCTGGCTGCTGTTCACCTAACAGCTTGTGTCTCTCTCTCATCCAGCTGCCCGCTTATGCCCACACCAGGCCAGAGAGAGGCTGGCAGAGTAGTTACAGTTAGGGCAGCCGTCAATCAAACGCTGTCTTCGTGCCAAAAGCAGCCACACAGGTGCAGTAAGATGGAGTGGGTCAGTCAGAGCCACACAGAGAGTGGATGACTGATGGCACGGCTCGGAGACTCCTCTGCACTGATAAACGGAGTGATAGATGGAAAAAAGTGTGGGAATTAAAGCGAAGAGAGAGACAACACAAACCCCTGCGGAGGAGGAGAGATGTGAGATATATTAAGGGGCGCTGATTGAAACGCACACTCGTGCTTGTCTTGTGCGGAGATCCCTGGTTTCTCTCAGAGCTGTCCTTTGAAAACAGAGTGCTGAGCACTGGGGCTTGTGGGAACTCTATTCTCCTCCTTCAATACGCCATTCAGGCACAGACTCTTCTCTAGAGAGCTTTTCTCTCCGCATCCCCTCTTTTCCTTTCGGAATGAGGAGCAATGTTCCCTGTACCCAGATATGACAAAAACAGGTTGTTCAGGGAGACAAAGAGAAGGACAGGAAAAAAATGAAAGGGCAAAAAAGAAAGAAGGTAAGATAGGAGGAAAAAGCGAACAAACAAATGAACAAGGAATGATCGGATGTAAAGAAAAATAAAGAAATTATAAATGCAGTGTAATTATTAAATGTTTGGTTTCCTTCCTCAAGGATCTGGCAGCTAGCATGAATCGTACGTATTGAATATTATAGGTTTTTTTGTTGTTAATGTTCACATGACCAGCACATCAACTGTCTACATGTACTAAAAATTAACTTAAAACCTAGCAAAAGGCGCATTCATCCACAAACATAAAGAAATGTGCACGCGTACAATAATTCTGCTCGAGGCTTCACTCTCCATGTCAGCTGTTCACCAAACACAAAGTTTGTGCTATCTCATAAAGTTTGTCTCCACACATGAGAGACGTCAACATCCAAAGTTCCCACAGAAGAGGAGAAAGGAACAGTAAAAGCGTGTCAAGAGGAAAAGATGTGAGGAAGGAGGGATTGTCTGTCATCCAGCGGTGTCCAAACTCCTGAGTGAAGGGACGCGAATCCTCCCTTCCCATCCTTTCGTCCAAAAGAAAAGACATCTTTGAGTGAGAGCACATGGGCGTGAGGATGATAGAAAGAGATTCAGCTAACAGCACGCCGAAGAGAAAAAAAAAAAAGGAAATGTTTGTCATTTTACTCCTGTCAGGTGCTTTACGGTGAAGAGGAAAATAAATGTCTTTTTTCTCTATTAAAACTGTAGCACAAAAACAACAAAATCACATTCACAAGCCACTTGTTGGCACTGTGTACCTGAGTGAGAATATTATAGAACCAAGAAAAAAAAAGCGGTTTAAAAGTGTCTCTTTAGAAACAAACAGGTCCACCATTTTAAAGTGTCTATGACGGGTCGACTGACAGGTCCTTAGTAATAAATGTCTTGATAACAAACCGGTCAAGCGTCATTTTTCCTATGTAGTCATAGCTTACTCGTGATTCAATAAGAACTTGCCGCAGTACGTTCGCTCAGCGGGAGTCAGGGCAAGTGTTACACTTCATTCACAAGACCCTCCTTTTCATGTAACAGTCATTTTGATTGACAGGTCCTGTGCTTTGCTGTGGATATCAGGCTTGGCTCTGGAGGAGTCCTGATTGGACGGTGTATGGGGGCGGAATGAAGTTTGCTTGCGTGAGATGTCAAGTGACAGGTGAGATGGCTGTGATTGGCAGGTTTACTGAGTGATGTGATTCTCACTGTCACTGCCATAGTCATCGTCTTCGTAGTCAAAGTCATCGTAGGCGTCGCCGTTGCCGTCATCCATTCGGAGCTCCTCCTCCTTCACACGAGGCCCCTCCCCTTTGTGTGTGCGGTATGAGGGCTGGCTGGTGGGCGGGACTGGTTCGGGGCTACTTGACATGCTCGAGTGCTCAGAGGGCAACTGTGGAGAGGGCATTCCCGCCATAGAGAGCGCACCCGGGTACACTACGCCCGCTGAGGACAAGGGTAACTGGGTCTGCTGCCTGTAGTACAATAAACACACAACCTGTTAGTGGGGCCTGGGTGAAAACCCTAGTCTGATTGTTGTATATAGTGAAATAATGAAAAAGTGAGGGGTTGAAAAATTTGACTGTTTGGTGATGTCACCCAAAAGGAAAGTCGTTTCATAGGTGGTGCATGTGCACGGTTCATGAATTCACTGATGAATCGTTAACAGTAAGATCAGGAATGTGTTACACAAAATTGATCAGGGTCAATTTGATTCCATGTTGACTTGAAAAGAATACATTAGTAAAACTTATTTAATGAAACTCACCCTACGGTGAAGTACTGGCGCATCTCCTGTCTGCGGTTGCGCATGATGGCCTTATATTCACCAATGCGCAATTTCTTTCCATCCACCAGGCAGGTGCGTTTGGGCCGTGGTTTGTATTTGTAGTCTGGGTATTTCTCTAGGTGCTGCTTACTAAGACGGGCCTGTTCTTCATAGTATGGCTGCTTTTCCAGGTTGGTCATGGCCTTCCAACGAGAACCTGCAAGAAAAACAAGGTGTTCAGAGAACCTCACATGCATGCATAGTTATGATTCAGACAGAAAGTCAGGGATAGCTGCTACAAACAAACATTTTTTAATGGTTGCATTTTTGAGCTTCCCTATGCAAATGTCCCCTAAAGAAAACGTACTAGAGCAAAGTCAGGTGAACTCAAACAGCCAAATTATACAGGGCTTTTTAAGACAGAGTAGTTGACTAATCATTCAGGCAACCCAGTAACGATTCGATTTTTAAAATATGTAATTTTGCACATCTCTAATACACTCACACTTTAGTATGGTTTTTAACTGCCTATCGGTGAGCCTTAAAAACGGGTACTTTGCACCAAGAGAGGGTTTTTGTTTGGTCTAATGAGTACCTTTGAGTGGAACTGATGTCAGACAGAGAAGAATAGAGTGTGCTCTTTGCCCTCCAAAGCGCGCACACACACGACATTATTCCAGGTGACAGCGGGTTAAGTGGGCCACTAACACACTCCATCTAATTATCAGAGCTCAACAGGCGTACCTGTGGCCTGTGTCTCTCTTTCTCATTAACGGAGGCATGTGAACACATACACATTTACACACTGGGGCACACGCCACTGTCCCAAAAACTGCAGTAAATGTGTGTTCAGGGTGTTATGCATGCGTGTATGTGAGTCTGTGTTGAATTTACACAGTCCTACTGTATGTTTAATGGGGAAAAGCTGTCACCACTGGCCCTGACATGCACCCAGTGCTGTAAAGGGGGAACTCCTTCTGTTAACAATTGAGAGAGCGGGGCCTTATTAAAACCAGATTTTCCGGCGTTATAAAACGCTTAGGAGCTCTTTAAAATGTCAAACACAATCCCAGAGGTCTGGAGAAAATGTCAGACAGACTGGAGAGCTGGTTTAATGCATAATGAATTATATCATCATTGTTGGAGTCGGCCCTCTAGAGCGATTCATTAGGCGGTGGTTACACAATGCAGTGCGGGAGAGGGCTGTGTGTGTGTGTGTTGAGGAGGAAGAACAGAGGGGATTCTCTGTCGCGGGCTGCATAGTTCTTCCCGAAGGAGCCAGCCTTTAAACCCCACCCACATTTAATGTACCCACAAATCTCAGCCAATAAGGGAATACAGTGTATGGTGAATCAAAGTTGGATGAAAAATAAATCTTCAGTCAAAAACTGCGCAGCTGAAAACAAGAGACGGAGCTAGTAAACTTGAAGTGGTTAGATAAGTGGTTGGAGAGATTTAGTGGCACTGTCTCACCGAGAATCTTGCTGATGTTTGAGTTATGCATGTCAGGGAAGGCCTGAAGGATCTTCCTCCTCTCGTCTTTAGCCCAGACCATAAAGGCGTTCATGGGCCTCTTGATGTGCGGTTCGCTGCTGCCGCCACGCCCTCGAGCCTCCCTGAAGATCCGGGAGTCCGACACACTCGGGCTTCCTGGAGAAGGAACGCGGGTGGACAAACATGCTCATATGTACAATGCACATAAAATAAGATATAAATGTTGGCTGTGATTAATTGAAAAAAAACAAAAAAATAAAAAAATAAAAAAAACAGGTAGCATCATCCACCAAGATTACAATTAAGATTATAGGGAAGTAAATAGGGTCCATTTTTATTTCACTTTACTTTAATATGTCTTTAAAGTCACAATGTTACAGAAGTAGTGACACATGTTATTCTGTATGACGTATATTCAGGTGCATCCAAAAGAAAAAAAATTAGGACAGGGTGGGGTTTATGCAGACAAAATAATTGAAGTCCTGCATATGTCACCAGAGAGGAAACGTTTCACCAGAAGATTGAGCTACATTAATTGTATTATTAAAAAATATGGTAAAAAAAAAAACATGCATGGATGAATTGAAACATAAAATCCATTTCATGCCAACTTTAAACTGAACTTTTTGATTACACAATAACATAAATTGAGAGAGGAATTTATGATGGGTGTAAAAAAAAGATCTTACCATCTGAATCTCCACTGATGCCAAAGTCCATCATTGCGTGAGTGAACTTGCTCTCTTCAGACTGTTTTAAATGCTGGCTTAGGCTCTCAAGAGCAGCTTTATCCTGTACACACAATATACAAACCAATCCATTTAAATTCATTCTTGACAAATTAACAGATGAAATTTGCATAAACACAGATGAACTGATGAATCAAGTGCATGGAAAGAGAATCAGAAGAAAAAAAAATTAAAATGGGAGTTAATGTTTATCCATCAAATATGAGTAGTCTGGATGCCACCTGCAATCTATTTACACTTATTCTTCCCCTCTCTTTCTCACTCTATCTCGGTCTCTCTCGCTTAGCCCTGAGGTCAATGCATTAGAGAGCACGAGCGCTCTAGAGATGAGAGCGGGGCTGGACCGCACAGCCTCCTGGGTATTTATTACACCCAATAAAAAGAGATTTACTATGCATTTACATGGCTAATGTAGCTGGGCTGCATATTTCAACACAACACCCCCTGCTCTCTCTAAACATGCACCCCCCCCCACGGAGCTGCATCTGGGGCTTAATTAGTCAATTAGACTCCATCCTGAATCCACGCTACGTTTAAAACACACTCGCAGACAGAGTCCTCACCATTAGAGAGTGACCTGGGCCTTCTGCGACTCTGTAATGAAATGCATTACACCATTTTGCAGCCATCGAGATTTAATTGTTCAGACTGAGTTAGTGAGTGGGGTTTAAATGAATGTGTAATGGAGAGAGAATCTCTCCCCAGAGAGACAAAGAGAGAGACTGAGAGAGATGATCAGGTTTGATAATGTGACAACATACAAACTTCAGCTTTATACACAAGAAGGTTTGTAATATTGGGAAAAGCTATCCGTTAACACTCCTGTTCATCTCAACTGCAAGAATAATTACTATTTTAAGAGCCCTCAAAAAATAAATTGGTAAAAAAAAAATCTACTACACTATAATGAAATATTAGCCTTGTATACGTATGTTGCTTGCACAATTTATATTTTGACAGAATACATAGTTAATTTTGATTGGCTGTCAATGGAGAAAGATGCTTTTAAGCTGGAGTAGTTACAACATGTACCATAACTGGGCCTAAACCTTGCTTGGATCGACGCTAAAACTCTTTCATCTCATAGGCGATTGACCTTGCTCATCTCCCACAATCCATTTATCTTAGTGTGACACAAAAGGGTTTAGGAACAACGCAGGGTTTGACCGCACCATGTGTTCCTGGGGAATAAGTTCAAAGAGCGCAGCGCACTCTCTCAGAGAGTTGAGGTTAATACATAGAGGGACAGTAATTGTCTAAAATCAGGAGATAATGGGCTGAAGAGGAAAACAAACATCAGATGGGCTGGCTGATGTGGACCTCAGTCACGTAACAGAAAAAAAATGTGCCACTTTACCATGTGGCATTTCAGCACAAACCACCGCAATACAGTTTAAAGATTTAAAACATTTAGTTAAGAGGCTTTTAGTCTATGTCCATTATCTTTAAAGCCAACTATATGCTAGTGTACTTCTAAAGACAAAAATACACATTTAAAAATTACATTACTTACTTATTTCTGTTCTAAGGAAATGGACAAAAAATATTGATGAACCATCCTGCACTACAGATTTTTGTCTAATCAGATACTCTCTAGAATGAGTATGCCCAGCCCCTAACTCCCCTGCAAAGAAAGGTCCTTTAATGAATTGAAATTTCCTTTTTAAATCTGAAATTGATCAGATACAGGAGAAAGAACTTTGCTTGCAACAACATCACTCAGATGAACTCCAACATCCACTTTTCTTTAAGACTGAGATCATTGATAATACTCTTTCTTGACGTGTGCTGCCCTCACATTGACCACAACCAATCCGCCCTTTTCTCAGCATTTGAATGTGTGGCGTCAAAAATAATCCCTCTGTACTGAAAACGTGTGCAAAAGTGCAGCGTGGATGACAGTTATGTGTGTGTGTGTGAGAATGTAAAGCTGTGGTCAGGGTAAAGTGCAGCTGATCTGTGGTAAATCATAATAAGGATAGAGTGCTTGGGAGATGTGGATTATTCCTAATGCACCTTCATTAACCTAGTAACAATCAGCACAGCCACTAAGCCTACCCAAGGGAAGAAGAAAAAAAAAAACGTCAGTGCAGTGTTAGCATGTGGGTGCTACACTGAAGTTGAGATCAACGGACCCATAAACGTGCTTTTGTTAAGCATTTACCTACTGTGTATTTGGAGATGTTGATACGAGTTTACACACAAAGGTTTATGAAATAAACCAAATCTCTGTGTGGCGGAGAAAATCAGGAAGCAAGGACACCTGTGTATATACAAGCGTCTTCCTCTGCTGGTGTGCACAATCACATCATTAGAGGTGGACGAGGCAAAAGTGTCCATAATTTAATGCTTGTTTACTGACAAACTCTGCTTTTTGAAGCATTTGTATGCAAATTCCACAGAAAGCGAGTGTTTTTTATTATCTGCGGTCGAAGGCGTTTCCTGTGCTGTGGCTCGTGGACCAGCTGACTCCAGTGTGTTTAGCAAACAAGCCCAATTTAGCCGTGTAGCCGAGGAGTCACTCCAGTCACTTCACATTAGCATCAGCTACGCCATTAAAATTAGCGTCCTGTTCACTGCGCCCTGCCTGCCCTCAGCCTGCCTCCCAGACGTCGCCATCGTGTACAACAAAAGAGCTTTCAGATCTTAGTCACCTCTACTCCCCCTCTTCACAAGAACAGCTTTGGGAAATCACTTTGTTCAGAGATAAACACTTCTGTTGTAATTAACGCATCTGTTTGTGAATTAAACTTCATTTGCACTTTTCATTGGTGATGAGCAAGATAGGGGTCTGCAGACTTTTTTTCAGTCGCAAGCTAGAAGATTGAGTGAGTGTGTAAATGCAAGACTAGAGTAAAACAAACCTTTTCTGAGCGTCCATTGTTGAGGCTCAGGCTGTTGACTGCCGCTACTTTGGCGTCCAGCACCTGCTGCTCTCTCTTTAGCTGCTCCTTCATCTGTCTGGCCTCCTGGAAAGCTTTGGTCACGGCCTCATGGTCGTTCAGGTAGCCGCCGGAGGTGATAGACGACAGCAGGTCTGAAAGAATGACAGGTGTGAGGGAGACAGATCAAAGGCGTATGACTAAGACAACAGACAGGTAAAGCATAAATGTGTCTTGATATAAAGCAGTCGTTTCCAAATGGTTCCTGTATTTACCAAATCGAAAAATGTTACCCTAATTTTGCATATTGTTGGGCACAAGTATTTCATTATATTGTCAATTTCAATGTTTGATTTGGAACATTTTTGGTACTTGCCTGACATAAAACATTTTTGGTTTAATGTATCGACTTAAAGTGAAGTCACCCAACACTAAAACACTGCTGGCACTCCGGGCATCACACATTAGCACCGAGCGTGCTGTGAGGTCACCTATCAGCATTTGTGTTAATATTACCATACACACACACACTGACCATTTGACTGTCACCTCTGTGACTCAGCCTGCCTATGGCACAACTAGCTCTTAACATTCACTCAAAGCAAACAGAAAAAAAGAAGTGTGGAAGATAAATATTGACTTCTCAGGCATATGAGCGGTTAGTTCAAGCAGCTAACATTAGGGTCTGTCAGCTACTTTAAACATGAAGTGCTAGAATAATGAAAACTGGTTGGAGATCAGTGTTTGTCTAATGCCTGTGTACATAACATGATCATGTGAAGCTGAAAATAAAATCTCTATTCTAATTTACAGCAGAAGCTGTCATCAGATACCTGTCGCTGACGCACACACTCAGACACAAGCTCTGTTCTGAAACCCAGTGAGCTTGCCTCGCTGTCTATTGCCTAAATTGTTTTTCTGTGCCTGTTGCAATGCATTTTGTGATTGCTTTTCTCGAATTAAAGTGTTTACATTTTGCCTTTGCCTTAAAAAAGTTGCCTCTGTAGGCAGCCCACTAGCTTTTGGACAGAGCAACACTCTCTTTCACACAGACGAAGGATAAGAAATCCAGTTGAAAACAGATGCTGAAGCCTGATGAAAATCTCACAAATCCGCATTTTTACATTCAGAGATTTGCTAAAAAGTGCCATTTGTCTCATATCTCTCTCTGTCTACCATTCTGTAGGCTTTTATTCAGACCAAAGCTCATGGAAATCTTAAAAGTGGGAAAAAAAAAACCCAGTAGAGATTACTTATATTAAAGCCATAAGCAGTCTAATTTGGCCCATTCCGCAACATCTGCCTCCGAGCATATCAAAGATGTTTCCAACCATCTTTTCATGGCTATTATTTGTATTATTCTCAGCAGCTTAACCGCCCAAGCCGTTAGCTGCATCTGTTGGCTAGTGCATGTGTGTGTGTGTGTGTGTGGTGGAGCATTATCTCACCAGGATAGATCTAACAAAGACCTGTGCTAGATTATGAGTATTTATCTGGCCTAATCCGGTCGCTAATGCTGGATAGGATGGATTAAATGCTTTCATTTGAAATGATGGAGGAGAGAACTCTTTTTTAAAAAGTCATATCTCTGGAATCTGCTAAAATGGTCACAAGTCAAAGGATGAGTGGAAGCCTGCACACTTCCTGACAGTCAATTTAATTGGGGGTCAAAAAAATGTCTGAGGTGTTAATTAAGAGCACCGACCCCACTAAAGAGAGATGGTTATGAGATGTACTTGCATTTAAAATGACTTATTTAAAGTAGAGATGTATATCAGTTTAATAACCCAAAAAATAAACAGTATATCACACTTTACATTACAGTGACCTGGAAAGTAGAACTTTCTTTTCGGCCTCTGAGAAAAAGCAAGGGAGAGTGATGGCCTTAGAGGACACAGCATTTGACAGCCCTTGTTGTGTTTCTGTGCTGACAGTGACACAAAAAGAAAGGGACACATGGGGTCGGGCATGCTGGAAAGTCTCAGGACAGATGTCACTTAACAAGGTCAAAAAGATGAGAGAGGTGGAGAACATGGATGATGGAAAGATGAGAGAATTGCACAAAAAAAGTCGTCCAAAGATCAGGCAAGTTTAAATATAAATACTCATCCAGGTAAACACACATACACCTCGGAACAGCATGTTAAGTGGGGCTCCGAATACGTCTTTGACATATTTACAATACTTCCTGACCCCTTAAAGATGTGCACCAGATGGAATAATCAAGGGACATACGGCACTCTCAATCTCTAGATCTAAAAGAGCCTCTCACTACGACATGTTCTAAAGGATTTCAGTGAAAACTTTACTTCCTAATCCATTTTTCAGAACAAAAAACATCTGGGCAGCAAATCCACTAATCTGCTATTAAATCCCAGGATTTGTTGAAAAACACAGCGATTACAGGGAAGTAGTCTGAAATGGCTAACTGTTGTAAAGGGAGTGATGCATGGGGAGGGGAGAATATTGCTTTATTGTGTTATTAATGTATGTTGTTTGTGCTGTGGGTGGTAACAGAGTTGTATAAGAGGCTTGTCTAATCTCAGCGCCTGTCAGAAAGGCTTGTGTTGCTCTATTCAGCACCTCTAAACAACAGAAATAAACGCCGCTAAACCTTCCCATCCGCTGTCTCCCTCTCTTTCGCTTCCAAACACAGCTGCTTAACAAGCTCTCCCCCTCCATTTAGACTAATAAATGTTTGACAATGTGCCCTTCAGGCAAAATTTAATTCTGCAAACCTAAAAATGTAACATCAATTACCGTCTCATACAAGAGTCTGTGCCAGCAAAAAAACATATCCTGGGAGTAGGAAATGCTCTTGAGAGATACATTCAGGGCAATATGTAATAACATTAAGCCGGTTATACTGCCATTTATGTGTTTATTGAATTGCAGTGAACTGTGGAGGTGCGGGTACCTATGGAGCTGAGTCTGGACGGCGGTCCTCCGATGCTGGAGTGGGCGCTGTGCTTCAGGGACCCGGGGCCCAGCTTCAGGGTGGGGACCTGTGGGGAAGCGGGGGAGGTGGGTGACTTGCTCTCGGATGCCTTAGGCTTGGACGACAGATTCAAGGGCTGAGCGCCCTCGTCCTGCAAAAAAGCAACACGTTTGGCCCGGTGTGATTTTTCTCCTCAGAGACTTGGGACCCAATCAAAACTCCCAGCAGGGGGTCAAATCAGCTGACTGCATGCCGAAAAAGGACGTTTTCAGCAAATGCGGCCAGACCACAAGGAAAGGTAAAAGTAATTGTGGTTGCGCAGGCCAGTTGAAAAACTTGCCGATATTGGATTGACTTTGCGCACTGCCATGGCGTAATCAACATGCAGCACACCCATGCTCAATCAAACAAGAGAACAGGGACAAAGCGAGCATACCATGTAAAGAAACATGCTTAGGTGAGAAGATTCACACACATTTACCAAACATGTTGCGCATTGAGAAGAAAACAAAGCACATACAAGCATACACACATACACAGAATGGCCAAGTATTCTATAAATATAAGCATGATTATTTGACACACATTATGGCTTCAAATATGTTCACAGATGTCAATTAGGCTCAATTAGATAATAATCAAATAACCCTGAATAACCCTTTTGTGATGGTGGACATCTATCCATACAGTGCAAATGAATGCTACCAAGATATCAACCATGCTGACATCATAATCACATCAGAGAAGGCACCATAAGGGGTAATTAGATCTCAGAATGACAGATGCTGCCCCGTACACAGCATCAGAACATTGCAACGAAGGCCTAAACTTGCCATCAAGACCTTTCTTTTCTTAACAGCTTCATAGCTCAATACCAGAACTACATCAGAAGTTTGCGCACTCAGGCAATTCTCCAGGATCAAATGACCTTGCCAGCCCTCGTCTAAGCCATAGCTGTCGATCATCTTCGCCTGGCAGAGGGACTCTCAGGTCACTATTGGGCTCCCACTGCAGTGGGATCTCATATGTGCTAACATGGGGATTGCAGCTTCTGTACCAACACCTGTTTCTAGAGCCTTCCCATCTCTGATGAATGGCCAGAAACAAAAGCACTTGCAGCAGCCATAGAGGACCACCACATCTCACAGAGCTACAGTGTCTCTCCTGGTCTTGCCTCCGCAGTAGTACGAGCAGACATTCGCTGTTTCAAAGGCAGTAGGCAGCGAGTCAGCAAGCTAGGTTTTGGAACAGAGCTTCTGAGGTCTGGAGAGCTTGATTAAGACCTTTCCCTCACCGCCCGTGCTGTGATGGGCCGTAACAGGATTGTCCTCATTAGCGCTGTTCTCAATGGAAGGGGAACCAGTGGGATGTGGACTCCATCATAAGGGAGGCACACAAAAGACCCTACTCAATGAGAACACTAAGACGTGATTGAGGAGAATACTGTATCATGACCCATATTGTGTCGGGTGTGTAGCGACGCTGCATTGAAGAGGAAAACTGAATATTTATGACAGATAATGCCTGCCTCCCGCCCCGATGGTGGATTGTTCTTCGAGAAGCAAATCCTTGGGTGGGATGTTAGCCAAAGAGAAGGAAGCTGGTGAGAGGAGAACTAATGAAGACTGGCAAAGCTGTGTAAGAGAAGGAAGGCTAGCTTTAAGATCTGTCATACATGTTATAATAGGGAATAAGCTTAAATCTCATCTAAAATGACATATTTTTAAAAAAAATATTTTCAAATTTAAATTATTTTAAGTTTTAATCGCTGTATACATACACACACACACACACACACACACACACACACACACACACACACACACATATATATATATATATATATATATATATATATATATATTAGGGCTGTCAGTTAAACGCATTATTAACGGCGTTAACGCAAACCCATTTTAACGGCGTCAATTAACAGTCTTTTTGGCCTAGCAAACTTTGTAGTTTTTTTCACATGCTTTTGCACCAGGATGCGGCATGCGCTATGAAACCCATTCATTTCAATGCCTTGTGCCGCGCGAGGACGTTTTGTTGCTTCGTCGACCAAAGCGCAAGCGGATCTAGCTAGACCGGAAACAAAACAACAGGCACGCCACACACACTTGTTTAGGCTTGCGAGCCGGCCAAATAGTAGGTTAACGTTACCGTTTTGAGTAGATGACGAGCGCGAGACGCCGAAATGGATGCCAATAAGATTCTGAATGGAAAGTTTACTTTTAAAAAGTTGCCAAATGGCATTGACAAGACCAAAGTGATCTGTGTGTTTTGTCGTTGTGAACTGAGCTATCATCATCGCAGCACGTCCAGTCTGAAATACCACTTGATGGCCAAGCACACACACACAGCTGATGCTAATTCTCCGCCCCCTCGACAATATCAGGACCTTGTCAGTATTTCTTTCACCCTTTTATTGATGGACAGTGTTACATTGTGTGAGAGATTATTTGCTCCAAGTGAGGAATGTTAGTGTGAAATTGAACACAGTATATGCCAATGTTGTTTTCAATAAAAAACATTTGCACAAAGCAAGCCGATCCACTTTTCCATGTTGATAAGAGCATTAAAATGAGAAAAATAATGGTACAAAAAGAAATCAAGAGACATTTAGAATAGATAAAAATGTGCGATTAATTGCGATTAATCACGAGTTAACTAAGACATTAATGCGATTAATCACGATTAAATATTTTAATCGTTTGACAGCACTAATATATATATAAAACATTGCTTGCACAATGTCTTACTGTCCACCAAGTAGTTGTGTGATCTCTTTTGAATTTTGCATGAATGTATACATCCTTCAAATATCCTGCTGATAGTACAGTCTACTTTAGAGACTGTAAAGAAACCAGAGACACTCCCACGAGATAGAAGTGTTCAAGCCCATTGTGACCAACACATGGCCAGCACCTTCAGGAGGAATCTCAAAGCCAACTGTGGCAGCACTGAGCTTGAGTGAAGGAATAGTGTGGATGTGTAAATCTGAGTAGGTCACAGAGTGAAAACCGTGATATGAGTCTGTGATGCACCTGAGTTGTGAGGCCTCCCCCAGGGTAAAGCACTTAAGCTCTGTACGCCTCAGTCCAACCAGCTGTCCGACACACGCCACACATCTCAAAATGAGAGGAAGAGTGGCAACTACCCCAGGGCAGCAAGCTTGAAATATACATGCCTTCCCCTTCATGATGGCAAAAAGCTTGCAGACATGGAGAGAACAAAGGAGAGACCCATGATTGAGGGAAGATTTGAAGAGAGAAAGAGGAGGCAGAGAAGGAGAAAGGGAGGGCTCTGAATCAACTTTTAGATACTTGACGGGGAATATGAGAGAGAAAGATATATTTAAGAAAAATATCATTTTCTCATGTCTCAGTGGCTGCGGAGGCCTAGCAGGTGCAGGTGGCACTGCCAATTATCTGTATTATCCCGATCCCTCTTCTTTATCTCCATGTATTTGGTCATGTGACAACAAAGGACCACATGTTTGAGGAAAACGGCCTTCATTAGCCTTTGACACAATGAGCTGCAGGAGGCCAGACACAGTCGATGGCGACCGCCAAAGCTTCACTGAGATTGACGGAGGGAAACGTATCCTGAGCTCTTCCTCTTATGCAACAGGCATGTGGTTGAGCTCCAGGTCTGTTCTCTTCCCTCTCCAAATAGGCATCGGGCTCAGCCGTGGCTCAAGGCCGGAGTGAGAGCGGGCAACAGGCCTTCACACATGTGTATCCAGCCCTGGCCGCCCCACGGTCCAGCTATTGTACTGCTGAGCGGGACAGAATGGGCTTGCAGGGGTGTCCGGGCGTCTAGAATGACCAGCCCAGCAGGAGGGATGAGAGGCCAGACAGGCTGCTTTTATTTCTGCCCTGCCTGATATTCACGGAGCTTTATTCCGCTCCGATAGCTCTGGCCTCCTGTTGCCACACTGGCCAAAGGGAAAGATACCTGTTATGAGACTTATACTCTATCAGAAAAAGGCACAAAGCAGTGGTGGTAGCTAGACCTTGGGTTCAAGGACCAAGGACCTTCAGAAGCTGGCATAAAAAAGCACTTGAAATGCAACAATGTAGTGAGGCATGGCGAATTGAGGGCATTGTGCCAGCTTGCAAGAGTTATGGGTTTTCAACCTAAAGAACATCAAAACCAGTACATAAAAAGACTATTAGCTCTGGATGGAAAATGTACACAGGTGTTCCAGCCGAATTTGCATCCACAAACACATACCTTGGGCTTTGGTGGTGGGGTGCTTCTGTTTTTCTCGCTCTGGCCGCTGGTGGGCGAGTGTGTTCCGGTTGCCAGGTTGGCCTGAGGCACTGTGCTGTGTTTGGCCCCCGGAGACACCTGCATGGCAGCTAACTGAGCTGCATACAACTGCTGCAAAGAGACAGAGAGAGAGAGAGAGAGAAGGGACAGAAGAGTGGATGAAGAAGAGAGAAAGGTCCATGAATAAATGAATACACAGAACGCACAAAAAAACAAAACAGGCTAAAAAGCTGGTTTGGCCATTAGTGGAGAGGGCTGATGGTTGTTTATGTGTGAGGGGACAGAGCTGTCACTTTATGTTCCACCATCCGGCCTCAAGGGGCTACGCTAACAGCTAGCAGACGCCTGAGTGAGACATGTCCCCGCCAAGGTGCATCCTGGGAAAAAACGCACTCACCATAAGGGTCATATTCACTAAGGAAAGAAAAGACTGAAAAAGGGCCTCTCAAGGTGAAAAACTGGTGGATGTGTTTATGTAAAGAGAGAAGTTGTGAATTTCTCTGCCACTGAGAGTGGAAACAAATGCCGGACCCCCTATTGATTCTTTTACTCTTGCTTAAGAATGCACACCAGGACAGAAGGACCCATGAGAAAACACTCTTAAAACTCAAAAAACACATCTGCCAGCATGATTCAATGAAATGCAGCATACTGCCATTTGACAGAATAAATCAAAATTTTGCTCCTTTTTATTTCTATCGTTTCAAATGTATTAAATGACAGATTGATATATTGGCTGATCTTTTGTGATTAAAGTAACCATGAACACTTGGCCAATAGTTTCATCAGTAAAAAAATATATCAGCTTCATTAACAGTAAATGAACATTTTGAACATGTCAACATTTTTTAAATCAAACATAGTAAAATAAATTAGCAGTATATAAAAGCTTGTACAAGCAGTACATTTAAGTATTTAAATATAAGTATTTAAGTTCGTTTCCTAATTATATTGTATTTATTTCTAACACTTAAATACTATGAATACTATAAATAATTGCGTTATGTATATCTACATGCATATATCAATATTATATTGGCTATATCAGTTCTCTAGATATTGTCATCTGCATAACCAATGGAACAAACCTGTATCAGTCAACCACAAGCAATAACATCTCCCAACTGTTAAATGCGGAGCTCAGGGATGTGCTCTTCTACACAGTGTATTTGTGGACCAGAGCAAATGTTTCTGCGGTAACAGGCAGACAGTACAGTGGCTGGACATTGCGTAAAACAGATTCCCGGAATGGGAATTTGGGCAATTCCTGCAACAAGTACGTTTGTGCAGCTTTCATGTGCAATTTTGAGGACTTTGAGAAAAGCAAAGAATGAATTTAAGAGAGGGAGCTTTTTATTGTATTTGTGGGAAAATATGAGGAACCAAATCTGTGTTTACAGTAGCTGCAGAGACGGGCTGTTTTTTAAATTGTATTTTTCTCTTTAAGGTTTGGAAGGCAATGGCTGTTTGTGAGTAAAACTTCCGTCCTTCTGTTCGTCTCTGGCTGCCAGCCACCAGCAGGAAACAAAGACTGGTTTATGCAAATGTTCATGGCAGTTCTATCTCTCTCTTTCTCTCTCGCTCTCTCTCAACCTCAACAGCACATTCTCCACAATCTTCTGTCGGCTGTATCTGCTAGAATTAAATATTTCTATCAGATGAGAACACAGAGATTAACGCACCATCATGCTGAGACATATCTCCACACAGAACATCTCTATCCACTCACACGGGCTTTTATCTGCCTAAATTTGCACCGCAGAGAGCTAATAAAGTTAATAAGTACAGATTTTTTTTGTTTAAAAAGGTACACTGCTATATTAACTGTATGCATAAAAGTAGAGGTGCACTGAATAAAAAAAAATTCTCTGGTATATATTTAATTATATTTATGCTATTGCCAACCGATATGATGACCAATATTAAATCTACACTATTTTGCCTGTTTCAAACAAAATGGCACTAGTTACGGCTGATAAAAATATGATCACTGATATATTGTGCATCCCTAATAAAAGTACCTACTGTATACACTGCTATTTGTAATATTTGATTCTGATCGGCTTTCCACAGCTAAACTGTACAATCGACTGTTGTACTATGAAATTCATTTAATGTAGCTCTTGTGTCACTCTTTTTTCTAACATAAAATAATTTCAGCTCAAATCTATACTTTATGTGGTAAGTAATGAGCGGGATATTGTGTATATACAGCACCTCAACGCACACACACATTTCTCTTGGATTTTTTGATCAGGAGGTGACCTCAGTGTGTGAGCTGTAGTCCACACAGGGGAGCAGGACATGAAATAAAGCTCTTGTTGGTCATTTCTGTTCAATTACTCCCACCATGGCCCCTGGTTGTGTGTGTGTCTGAGCGTGACATACGGCCCCTGTCGGAGCTTGCCCTGTCTGTGTGTGTGTGTGCGTGAGAGGGCGAGATGCTCTGTGTCCGGTCCACTGCATCAGACTGCTTTATTTTCTTTCTGAATTGAGTTCTATTACAGGGCCAGCTCTTGTCAGTCACAACCACTAGACCGACACACACTTCCCTTCCAACAGGGGCTGCCACTGAACACGCTCAAAGCGCTGCCACCCCGCCGTCAACGTGAGCAAACAGGAAGTGACAGCACAATGCCCCTCGAGTGCCCACGGGCTCACGTATGCACACGCAGCGAGAATGGGGGATGAAGGGGTGGCTGATCTCAAAAGTGGGGATGTAACAGAGGAATTTAAATGTCAGCCTTACACAAACACACACACAGAGGTGCTGAATGGGGGAGGGTGTATATCTGTGAGGGATTTGATAGGACTCTTGACTCCTTCAGTCAAGCTGCGTCCTTTTGAACTGTTAAAGCTTCTCCCCTTGCTTCTCTCACTCTCTCTCTCTTTGCTAATCCCCACAGGAGTCTTAGGCCAGCTCTAATTCTCTAACCACAAGTCTGTGTGTGTGTGTGTGTGTGTGTTTAAGGCAACAAAGGTAAGAAAACGCATACCGCCAACACAGAAGGCGAACACACAAGAAAGATCCTAATGCCAGTCGGTAATGCTGCAGGCCTGTCTGATCTAGTGGGTCAAATGTGACTCCATTAAGCAGTGTGTGTGTGTGTGTTTCTACGTGTCTATATGCAGGATGACGAGAGGAGATAGATTGGCATTTGCGCTTTAACTCGTAAGGCTGATTGGAGAGTATTAGTGTTGGTGACACATGTTTTAACAAAGCCACCACCCCATCCTCGCTAAGTCCCCGTCCCCTCCCTGAGCACAGGACGACGGGCTGCTGTCAGCGCTATCCAGCGGAGTGAATCTGTGTGTCTTTATGTGGCTGAGCAGACATCTCTCGCTCTCCAGTAATCCCCTGCTTTACTCAGATTATGAGCTTCTTTTCCCATCTTGCTTTGTTGTCAAAATGGAAGCAGTTCGGAGTGATCCTCTAAGCTATTGTCATTTTGGTCACCGCTGGCTATTGTGCGTCTCATGCTTTTTCCATTGTAGTCAATTCTTCCTATTCTTGTTATTTTTTTTGCGCTAAACTAAACACTGGCTGTCGAATTTGTGCTATTTTGATTAGTGCGCCAGGCAGGATGAACTTTGACATGAGTTGCGTCTGACTGAAGCCGCTGCCAAGAAATCTCCCTCTTCAGTGTCAATTAGAGCTAAAAGCTTGTGTTTACAAAAAATACAAAAGCTAAATGAAAATCTATTGTGAGGTGGGATAATTTTTTTCTTTTCTGCTTAATTATTTTTTTTCGGATTGTCAAGGAAGAGACTCAGTACTCTGTCCAGGTTTTAGGTCCGCTAGTGGGAAGCTTTGAGGCAAAATAACATTCTCATTGTGTGATACACTGGGAATGTTATGTAAGCTTATTATGTTGTGGAGCAGATAGGGCAAGCTGGACAGGATCAATCCAGCCATGCTATCTATTAACAGTGTCACTGACCTCATCGTCCTCGGACAATGCCACCAGATCACTATCTGAAAGGAATTCACAGCGCTTATCATCGTGCGTACACATGCAAGTGGCGTCAAAAAAATAAATCACTGGGGGTTTGAACTACAAATGGAAATGCATGTACTATTTTTTACGGCTGATATAAGGCATTAAATACAGTCTCCCTTCTCGCTTTCTCTCTCTCGTTCTCCTGTGTGCTGCAGTAATCCGGTGCAATATGGTCCAACATCTGCCTCTACATATGATGGCTGACCTCCTCCATTGACCCACTTTATACCTCTTCAGTATGCCGCTCACAGCTCATACCGTTCTATTACTCCCCTCCTTTTCTTATTTTTCTCTTTATCTCTCTCTCTCCACTTTCCAACAAAGTCATAGTCACTGTCCCTCAGCTTCTGTGTGTGTGGTTTTGGTGGGTTACGCAGGTTAATTTAGCTGGTTATGGAATATTAGGCCAGTGTGAACTGTGGCCGCAGTTGTGAAAAGTGGTTTTGTGGCCAGGTTTAAAGACTGCTGCAGTGACTAATGGCAAACACCTTTAAGATAGTGACCCCTAGTGCAATGACTCCCTCTCACTCACACATGCACACACACTTAGAGGACTTGTTTAATGGCCGGTGTGTAGGTGAGCAGTCTCATACAGCTGTGACTTCATCCGTCTGGGATCTACAAGTCTGTTTGTGTGTTGAAATATAACTTGAAGAGAATTGTTATACAAAATTTATTTCTCTGAAAACTTTGGACATGCACACTACACAGGACGCAAGCGCCTAATTACAATGTGTTCAAATTAAAGTTACAATAATGCGCTACAAATTACAATCAGCAAAGCTGTCTACACTTCTGCACCGCAACTTCATACACTTTATTTTCCTGTTGAAAATGTATTGTACTTATATATAGAAACACACTTAAATAAGCATTCCTCTAGTTCAGTAGAGCATGGTGCTAGCAATGCAAAGGTCTTGGGTGTGATTCCCAGGGAATGCATAAACTGATCAAATCTATACCATAAATGCAATGTATGTCGCTTTGAATAAAAGCATCGGTCAAATGCATAAATGTAAATAGTAGGTCTTCTGCCTACTAAATTAAATCATCATTAGATTTCTATATGTATTATACAAACAACAACAACAACAACAAAAAAATCACATTTTAAATATAGTATAGTTGAGAGGACATAAAGTGCATTGAGAAGAGGGGCAAGGAATTGCAAGCCAGATTCAGCACATCAGGTTGAGTGCACAAACTACTAAACCACGGCTTGTGGAGTGACCAAGGCAAATATTTTGGGCCTCTCATCGTGTTGTGGGGTCTGAAGATGAGACGCGCAAATGCGCAGATTGTCCCAGAGGAAATCCAACGTGCTTCTGTCTGAGACATCTGTATTTAGGTTAGCCTTAGTAAATCATTTTCTTTGTGACAAAGCCCTAATCTCTCTCTCTCTCTCTCTCTCTCTCTCTCTCTCTCTCTCTCTCTCTCTCTGAGTGTGTGTGTTGCAAGGGAGATTTGAGGATGGAATGAGAGAACAGTGGCATTGGAAGTTGTTGTTGTTTTTTCTCCAGTTGTTTTTCTGGTAAAATCCAATTGCGGCTGACAAAGCTGTTCAATCTGGGATTTTTTTGTATCTTAACACGAAGGAACATATGGAGACAAGCTCAGAAGCTGATAAAATCAGACAGGACAAGATTCTTGCAGTAAGCCAGTCATACGGAGAACAGAGGGGTGAGTGCACAGACACAGAGGGTTTTAAAAAAAACAGAAAAAAATATCCTGTTTTATTACCTGTTATCCAGAGGGCACCTGGGAATACCACCTGTTTCTGTGTGAGTGTGTATGTGTGAGAGCCATTTATACCTCTTGCATATGCTTAAACTGTGATACAGATGTGCAGGTGCATATCCTTACATTTGTGCACGTAAGTGCAATGCCCTGTTAAAATTCACTCTAATGTGCATCTAATGTTTGGCTAATGGTGGCAGGGTGAATTTGGCCTCTTAGGCAGTCACTTTAATTGGTAAGAGGTAAAAGAGAGGAAGGGCCGGACCCGTGTGGGTCCCCAGGTAAATGCATCTCAAACAGCCAGGCTCTTAACCTGGTGCCAAGGGAATCAGAGGCAGTCCGTTAATACTTTTCTTCTCCTTCCAGAGACCAAACTAGGGAGGAAAAGGAAAAAGGACAGACGTGGAGACGCATGTTTACTGCATTTTCAGTTTCAGAGCAGCACAGTGAGGCTGCATTAGGGTTTGACTCTATTCAGACAGCCCATAATATCTTTTTGTGTTTGCTCTCTGTTCAGTGTCCCTCTGTGCTCTGTCCCCCTTAAAACAGTTTCTATGGTACCCTTCGCTCCACAGTGAACAATATCAGCACCCCAGAGCCAGCAGTGCGGCATTCTCTTTCTGGGCTCTGGCCCCTCACAAAGGCCCATTTCTATGGCAACTTGCAGTTGGCATGAGGAAAAGAGTTGGGTAGAACAGTGGGCATTGTTGTTCTCTATCGGGATCACAAAACAAAAAAGGGGGGAAAAAAACTAGGGAAGAAAAAGAGATTTTGTTTGAGAGGTTGGGAAAAATGGACTGAATCTCCACAGCAAAAGGACACACACAAACAAATCCACAAGATGGACGTTACCTGCAGCTGAAGAGGGCCGAGGCCAGGCGTTGCCGCAGCAGCGGCTGCCATAGTTGTGGGGATCAGCTGTAGAGGGTAAGGGTCACCTGAGGAAAAGAGCATTATGGGTATGTCAGATGCTTTAGATTTTTTTTTTCACACATCACCCATCCCTTTCGTCTTCCAACACTTCTGCACAGGGTCTGGGCCCCATCCCCCTCTCCTCTCCTTCGATGGCGCGACAGATTCACTGCTTTCTCTTCTGTCGGTAAAGACCTCCATTGTGAAGTCCCCCCCTCCATTCTAATGAAAGGCTGATTGTGTGGCTGCAGCTCTAATACCCCGAGCACAATAGCAGTTGAAGGCTAAGGCATGATAAGGAGAGGACGGTAATTAACGAGGTAACGTCAGCGCCCCGTCTCCTCGGGCCCCGCACAAGAGCCTCTACGTTGGAGAGATGAATCAGAACACGTGGAGTGAATAGCGAGAGTTATTAGCGTCCACCTGCAGATATGGGATTTATAATTACATGACCGGGAGGTAAAGGTCAGTCCAGTTCGGCTAGAGGAGGTAGGGGGGTTATTAGCGTTGCGCTGAAAAGGCCTGTGACATGAGAAACCACGAGTGTGCTCTCAAATCGGTTCTGCAGTTTTTTGAGTGCAAAGCATGATGAACAATGGAATGATGTCGGCCAAAAACCAAAAAAGGAGGAGAGGTTGGATACAAGCGCTCTGAGGAAGAACAGAGGAGAGAAAGTCTCAATGTCCAGATAGATGGCCTTTGAAATATATCATATAAAAGTGACACCATCATTCTGTTATTCTAAAAGAATCAGCGATTTATGGAGTGCATGTCTGGTCATGTTTTGAAGCCAGCATAAATGTGCCCTTCGCCTATGATATCCCGCCATTCTGTGCATGCAGTAAGGCAGAATTGGAATGGCATCTGATGGAAGTAAATTAATAAATGTAATTTTTTTATTAAAAAGACACATTATCGCTTTAGTACAACTGAAATGAAATTTTTAATGTGCACGTAAATGCACTTGTTGATAAGGCAGCAGCCTTCACATTTGGATACAGCCCGGGACTCTAGAGTATCTGTTAAAGGGGTTTGTAGAGGAAGTCGGACCTTGTCTCAGTAAGCAATAAACCAGACGCTCCTATCAGTCAGTCCAAAACATTTTTCCCATACACTTACACCCCACCCCCACCCCAAAAAAATAAAATGCTCATCTGCTTAGTTAAAGATTGCCCTGGACCCAATTCAAGGATGTATTCTGGGGAGATGTGTGTGTTTTGTCTTTTTTTCTTGTCTTTCTCTCAGTCCCTAAACAAATACAAATATTCCAGCTATTTTATGTCTCTCCTGGGTACAGCTGTAACAAAAGAGCAAAACTAAGAAAAGCAAACATGTTGCTGTTGGCGAGAAGGCAGTATCTTCAGACTGACTGGAAGAGCTCCGTGGCCTGGCTCCGGGGAGCAATGGGTGGGAACCAGCGTCCCCTTAGTCCAGACCCTGCGACCAGAGGGATTTCATCCCCCTTTTTTTCCTTTCCGGTTTTGAGGGTTCAAACGACGGCTTCCTCCCCCGTGAGCAAGCACTGTAATGGTAACTAAATGACATGCGTAATTGAAATTTTGGGCAGGGTTTGATGGTGCTGCTGGCTGTAATTGAAATAGAGGGTTTATGGTTAGGAGGGAGGGAGGCCGTTGGGAGGAGGAAGAGGGTGGGGGGACTTGTTTGGGAAACTGTGAAGCGCAGTGGGCGGAGCTGGAGATGCGTACCGGTCCGTCTCACAAGGGAGATGTGCGTTTATGAGTGTGCGAGTGTGTGATCTATGCAATGTTTGTGTGCACGCGTACAGTTGAAGAGGAGTCGGAGGCGTGTGCGAGGCGTACTGGACGCGTGTTCTGGCGGCCACTCGTGTTAATATGAAGAAACCTGGGGCAGGTCACTCTACCCCCCCGTGAGAGCGCGAGCGTTCTGCTGCTGCGCTGCTGGCACTTGCCGCCTCGTTTCTCGCGGTAAACAACACATTGCTTCACAGTTGGACTGCTACGGCCAAAAACACAAACCCCAGAGGAAGTTTTCTTTTTTTTCCTGTTCCTACTTTTGAACAAGAAATACAGAGACACAAAAGCAAGCGAGTTTGTCTAGTCTGAGAGTCTGTCATGTGCGGGAGATGATGGGCATCAGTGGTGTTGGCTGATCTTAATAACACACCAGACAGGAAGGAGATGCTGCCCAACATTGGGTTGAAGACTCCGCTTTCAGCAATCTGGTTTGAAATCTCTAGTGTGAACAATAAACTAGACTGAAGTCTTTAATTTAACAACCCATCACTGAAATGCTGCTTTAATACTCACTGCAGCCCGGTTTGTAGTTGAACCCTGGAGGAAGTAGAAATCCTTGTTGTGCTGCAGCGGCCGCCAGAGTTCTCTGATCTGGAGGAAACACAGGTATCATCAGCGGAGGCAACTGACCCTGGACCTGCTGAAGAGATAGAGAGAGACAACAATTATGTTGTTAGTCATGAACAAAGAGTCTTGCCATAATACTGTAGGTCAACTATGAAGAAATCTTTTCAACCAAAGTCCTAGCCTCAGCTTTAAACCGCCCACAGTTTGATCACTGACCATCTGAGGCCATTTTGGACATAAATTGGTCCAAATCTATTGGATATTTTCTTCACCTACATGGATTATAAAGGCAGGATAAGGATAAGGAATGAGTGAGGAATAAGTGGATGAGGAATAAGTGGATAAGGAATAAGCTGCAAGGTAGACCACACTTTGGCGACCTACACACTGCAGCTAAATTCGGTTGTCAATTCACCTTTTAGTGCTCAATCCGTTTCAGTACACACACAGTTTAGTAATTTACGGGAATGACAAACACATTCTACAACCAAATTAACTCATGAAAGTTAAGTAGTAGTGACAACCGCATTAACAAAAATTATGCACAGTCTGAACGGAATCAAACTGAACAACTAGTTGTTAATGACGTCAATGAGAGATATGAGAGATGACAGACGAGAGATACATCTCCGATGCAGTTTCGGGAGAGATTTATGTGTTGCATACACACGGAATGATAATTTAGGGGACTCAGTCCCACATTTAATTGAGGTTGTCACTCCTGAAACTTAACAGTGTGTACCTTTATGTCTGGCTACACTATGCACCTCTCTAGCCAGTTTATTACTCGGGTGATTTCAAATACTGTGCTTGTCCAGCAACTGTCACCTGAGGACAAGTGAGATATGGAAGGGTGGCTTTTGGGATAGTTGGTCCTCTTGACTTATTGTCACATAAAGGAGATTCTTCACGATCTGGCAACAGCTGGCCTCCATTTCTGCAGAGCACCATGCTCGGCACCTCGCCACACCACTTCACAAGGTTTCCAGGATTAAAAAAGGGAGGAAAGAGGAAAAAAAAAAACAAGCCAGAGACTTTGGCAAAGGGAGAGTCTTGAGACACACAGGCCCAAATAAGAAGAGGACAGATGGTTCCACTGACGAGAAAAACACAAAGGCTCCAAAAGTGACAATCCTCTATATATGAAAGTGACATGCTCTAAGAGTAAAGGAGGCAGTTTATCACAGTCGCATTTTAAGATAAACAGAGGTTAAACTTTTATTTTTCTCCCCTTCTATCTCTTAAGTCTCAGTAGCATGTCTGAGGGTTTTTGAATTCCAACCACTGAGCAATCATTCCTTCATTTTGGTTAACCACAAACAGCAGGCCTTCTGTTCCCAGATCAGGAGGCAGTGGCGTTTTATAGTTGCGTTACGACAGGACCTCCCACGGGCTGGTGCAGCTCTAACTTCCAGTCCTAATTGGACATATGCTCCTCTGGTTTTGCCTGCGTCTTCTCAGTGTGAGCTAAGGCTCTGTGGACACAATAGCATGTGCTAGCCAACGCGCATGCGTGTGTTTGTTCTCCAGTGGTTTTGAGCATGGAGTGTTTTTGTGGCAAATTACAATCACACGCTCTTCTCTTAAACGCATAGACATGTAAGCAAGTGTGTGTGGGAGCATATGGAATTAAAGGCTCGTGGATCTCCTCAAAGCGTTCGAACACACCGTCATGCTGTTCTCTATTCAATCAACGTAGTAAATAGCATTACCCACGCAGAGTAGGTGAGGCTGATATTGACATTTTCAGGCCAGTTAATGCAGTTTGATGCATCCAGTTGACATGTATCATGAAGTAGAGAACAAAAGGACTGTACTTTACAGTTTCTTTCAAAGGAGATTTAAATTTGAAGGCATTGAACAGTTAGCATCGCTTGCAAAACGTCTCTTGCATTGGCTGGGGACAGGAACACATGACGTTGAAACAAAGTGGACTCAGGGTTAGGGAGAATATTCTTGAACTGGAACAACGTGCCTCAACTGTAGGGATTGGATTGGTCCCCGCTAAACTAGTAATAGTTTAGGGAAAACCTTGTTTGAGGGGCTGCAACACCCCATCACACCCAAACACAAATAAAGGACTTCCCTTATTGTCTTTGTCATGACTCACTATTAAAACTGTTGAATATTCCAGAAAACTTATGACAAAAGTGTCAACTCCAGCTGCAAGCTCTATAAAGGTTTATTAATCAGACAACAGCTGGCGGTGGAATTTCATTCTGGCTCTTTGAACTCTCTGGTAGGAAGAATGGCTTACTTGAAAAGTTTTTAAAAACTTTGAGAAAGCAGAAGAGTCTGTCAGATAATTGGGTCGGAAATGGGTTTCAGAACCGACATCTAAAAACAATATGATACTTCTGGTTTTCAAATGAAACAAAAATACTCTCTTGTGAATGGTCCTATTGACCAGCTCCACAATAAAGACAGTTAAGATAAATTATGTGTTTGTTTTATTTGTACTATTTAACTATTTATAAATTGATAATATAAATATAAACCTACAGCAAATACAACTAGAATCTTAAAACCCCTCTAATTACCCATTCGAAAAATAGATGGCGGACAAGGAAAAAAGGATAACAAGAGCGTGGCTAACTTTGCAACTTTCTTAGTTTATAAGAAAAGAGCGAGATATTGAGAGTGAAAGAGCAAGGAAAAAATGTTGAAAGAAACAAATGGAAAGGGAAAAAGTGGAAAGTTGGCACAAAACTGAGTCAGAGCCTCTCGCCAGGCGGCACAGCTTGAACCTAAAGCTTTTTGAACATAATGAAGATGTGCAGATAATTAACATATGCAGTGTGAACAGGTTTGCTGGCACGGAGGAGAGAAAAACTCTAAGGTAGAGCTATTATTAGGGAGTAATTTGCTCTAAGAAGTAAATGAGTGAAACAATAGCTGCCAGCATTGACAATATGGCACACATCTGAGAATGTGTGCAAGAACGGTGGTTAAGAACGAGTCCCACCGCTAAAATCTGTTTCCAGCCATATGCTCCGGCAATTAAAGGCAGGCCTCAGTGACCTCGCACTGAAGAGGGGACACATAGCCATATAACTAATAATTAATTTGCGCTTGGATAGCAGCGTTAGCACACACGCACTATACTTGCAGACTGGCACTTAATATTAGCCCCGTGGACGTGGGCATAGGCCATTAACTTTTACAGAGTGCCTGCGACGACTGCCAGTCTGGTGCAGGCATCAGTGCGACAGGACTGTCCCTGGTGAATAAGATTGAGATTGCGCACACGCTCAAACAAACACGTGCAGACAGTCAGCTTTTGCATTGTACTTCCTGCTTCTTTTTATTAAGTGTGTTGGCTTATTATATACCTGGCTAAACATTGATGGCTAAAAAAGGAAGCTGCCAATGTTATCTCACATTCACGAGAGTGTTACTTCACAACAATTGTGAGGCGTCACCTTAGGGTGTGTTATCAGGGACCTAATAGAGCGCAACAGTTACTGTCTCTGCTGTTTCAGCAGCTTTGGTGTTTTAAAAAAATTTTTTTTTGTATTGTTCCAATTAATTTCCTCCATTGGGATTTCAGCCAAACCAACAAACTCTGAGATGAGTGACAACATTATAATCTTAAGTTTTTAAATACCTTTTTTACAAATTAGAGTAAAAGACAAGTGTCTTTTACGAGGCAATGAATTATGCATGCCATGAAGCACTTCAATCCAAAAACTTGGAAATATTGAATTATAATGATGATTGATTATAATGATTGATTATATTTATAAATGTACAATATTTTGAAAGTTCCTTTTTGCAAATAATTCTTGCAATAAAGTTACCTGAGGATGTTGGGAGTGTACTTCATACTTCACTTCTTTTTCGCTGTTCTCTTTTCCATGGTAACAACAACTTATCTGATAGCTGATAGGATTATGGGCAGTGCTTTTATAGACCAGGAATTTTGGAATTAAACATGATTTATTTTTTAATCAAGCTAAAAATCACACTGACTTGTGGCCACACAATCATATTATTAATCTCGCCTCTCACACTAGGTTTATCGTTATACATTACCCTTAAAAATCAAATACTCAATGGAAAATAATTACAGTCGGAAACAGCCTGTTGCGCTATATAAGGGGGAAACGGGTGGGGTTTGAAGTCTAGACCAATAAAGAGTTGCTTCAAGGTCACATGGCTTCACCCCTAATGCTTGATCTCTCTTCTCCATGCCTGATCGCGGTTTCCAGACAAACGTGGCATTTTCAAACCCCACCAAAACAACAACCCTGCTCTTTCCAATCACTAACGCATGTCCATTTTCTCACTTATGTTCTTCGTTCTTTTTTTTCAAGTATGCCTCTCATTTTTTTCCAGCGAACGGTCCTTTTCCGTGAGCCAAGGGCACCTTTGGCTGATTAGCGGCTAATGAAATTGAGTGGCGAGCCTGTGTCTGCACAGCCAGCCTTTTATTAGGCCCCCATTAGGTGTGAGTGCAGGAGGTGCGTCAGCCGCCCGCTGTAGGTGGGCATAACGCAGGGCCCATCTGCTCCTCTGCCTGTGTGTCCTTCCTCAAATAGCTCCCATTAGCTGCCAACCACCGGGCTGAGAGAAGCCTTCCCCACACACTCAAACACATGAAGACACGCATACACGGGCACACACCAGGCTGTTATATGCTTCTCAGGGCCAGTCGCTTAGGTAACACACAGTTGTTCTGTGGTTGGAGAGGAAGTAGAGGTGGAAATGGACACGTATAACACTTTGTATCTGTTAATTTCTCTCCTTTCGGCTTCCTTGTTGAGCACATAGCACTTTGGAGAATTTTCTCTGCATGCCTACTTTTAAGGTTGAACTTCCTTCATCATTCTCCGTCTTGTTCAATGTCCTGTTGATCCTGTGGCAATCCTTTACTTACAAATAAGAGTTGAATGAGCATGTTAGACAAATCTGTCTGGCACATTATTCTCCCTGTCTCTCCCTCGCTGTTTTCTAGGGAAACTGAACAGGTATACAATCCGAATATGCACACAGACACAAATATTCCTTATTTTCTGTCCACTGCTGCTTCCTGGGGAGGTATACAGGGTTACCTTTTCTTCATATGTGTCTAATTAAGTCCAATCATCTGCTGTAAAACTTATACCATGTCAAAATGTCATTGTAAAGCTGGAGTCAAAGTCTACTTACAGATGGCACAAGAACTTACGAACGTAACTTTTAGGATAAACAACTGATAGTGCTAATTGAGCAGAAATGACATCACTTTAAGAACTCTGAAATGCCACCTGAAATATCCTTAATAATAAAAAGCGAGTGCTCATATCAATCGGGAACATGTGTTGGGAGAATCCCCCCGATCCCCATCATCATCATCCGCAGTGCTGCGCAAAGCCCAGTTCACACAACCAGTGCGGCCACTTCATGCAGGAAAAACACCAATTACATTCATTTAGGTATAATGAGACAAATTAAACAATTACACAGCCAATTGGGTTAGCTGCTCCTGTACACAGGACCTGGTCTAACTGTGATGAGCTAACGCTCATGTTGTTTTTTGTTCCTCCTCAACCGTTTTCTTTTTAACTCTCATTCCGTGGGAAAATGAATTTACTATCTCAAGGAGGCACTGACGCATGGCAAATGAGTCTGATTGAGTTATGAAGCAATCATGCCGTGTTTGACATGTATAAGGTACTGCCATGGAAGCTCTTTATTAGGTTAGATTTCCTGAAATGTAGGTTGACTCTAATATGTGTTTTATAAGCAGCCTGTCGTATTTCTGTCGCCACCGTGTCTAAAGACTTAAACTAGTTAGTTAGCTAAAACATGCGACAGCAGTGCTCGTTTCGTTATCTGTGGCTAATGCCTTTGTGCTAAATGACTGTCGTTCTACGTCAAATTAGTCTGCAAAAAAAAAGCTCATCATGGGAGGTCTGGCTACTTGCGTTAACTGCCACTTTGACAGCGGAGGAGCCTCATCCCAGCCCCTGCGCTGGGTAGCGGAAATTTTCTAACACCAGCGCGATGCCCCGCAGAGCCGGAGTAGGTTTGCTGAAAGGAGGCTGCTAATGAGAGAAAAGCGAACAGACAGCGGGAAAGTGTTAAGAGTACAGCGGAGCTCAGGAGGAGGTTGTACCAGTGGGCAGCTCCCAGTCACAGCGCCCACAGGCCTTTCTCAACATTAAACCTCTCGTTAAGCATGGAAATGCATTATATGTATCCTGCATTTCATGCCTCATGCTTCTCGGCAGGAGGATTCTTTCATCCAAAAGAGCCTGTCTTCCTGGTTTGATAACCGTCAGGGGTCCTGAGTTGAGACACAGCTTTAATAAGAATGAAAGAGTGTGTATGCATGTTACCCCCAAGAGCCTAAAGAAGTGGCCCCACACTGTGAGGTATATACGTGTTAACTGTGTGTGCATATTTCAGGAGAGAACTAACTCTTCAAGGAGTTTTAAATGTGCTACAGGAACAGACTTTGGTTGAAAAGTCCATGTAGGTTCTACAGGAATTTCGCTGTAAAGTCAAAGTGAAACAGCATTAGCAATCCATTTGACTTAAGTTTTACTTCAGTAAAACTGATTATTTGACGAGGATAAGGATTGAATTGCAAAAAAAAATATGATGTCAAAGTGAAGTCAAAGAGAAGATGATAAGCCAAAAAGGAGAATTATATAAAAAAAATTGTTGTTTCCAATGACAAGTATTGAATAATTGTTCAAAGTAAGATCAGGAAAGGTAAATAGGGTCAATTGTATTGTATTAAAAAGGTAAATAGGGTCAATATTTATTTCGTGTTGACTTTAAACCTTATTTTCCTTCTTTTGGACATGGAATCTGTCTCTTGACCTCAGTAACGTCATGTAATAAACTCTAAATGTACTCTAAAAGTTCAGGACTGCTATATTTGTCTCTGACGCATGCGTTTGCTCAGAGTATGTTAGCGGCCTTTGTGTTAGACACAAGTCAAATGTGTGTTTTTCAGGAGGTGATTTAGGGCTAATATATGATTGGCCCATAACAAGGGTCTCCTCCTCTCGCCCCCCTCCTCCGCCTCCGTGTTGACTGTGAGAAACTATTGTTCCACTAGGCTGAATGGAGAAGTGCTTGTTTGGGAAAAGGTTGCAAAGTCATGGGAAAAAGAAGCTTTGTTTCTGTGAGCGACGAGCGGGGCTAGAAAAACCCAAGCGGACGTGTTTTGGGGACTGACGCACACATAGCTGCTACTAACACACATAAGGACATGAGCTGATGCGGATTTTGAAATAGACACAGATAAGTCTCACATCCACATGTTCAGGCTAAGCTGTGTAGTATGAACATACTACACACAAGCAAACACAGCTGCAACACACACACAGGCACTAAAAGAGAATGGCAGGGGTCCAGCGGACGGCAGTGATCTCTCTCTCTCTCTCTCTCTCTCTCTCTCTCTCTCTCTCTCTCTCTCTCTCTCTCTCTCTCTCTCTCTCTCTCTCTCTCTCTGTGTGTGTGTGTGTGTGTGTGAATAGTCTCAGTGTGATGTGGCTTCCTGGCCAAAACTGCCGGAGTCCCTCTCAAGGCTAAGTCTCATTTTATCAACCAAATTAGAATCATCTCATCTCCTCTTGCACACAAAGCCTTTATTCGCTTCACACCTGCACACACAAAGCAGGCCAGTGTCTCTCTGCCCCATGTATAAGTCAGCTGGGACAAACCCATCAAATAGTGTCTCTGTTTAGTTTTCCACATGCTTCTTTACCAGCCATCAGGACATTACCTACACATTTATTTAAAAGATCATATGATCATACCAACAAGTTGATTTGCATGAGCTGATATGATTGAATACACACTCTTTTCCAAAACATACAGCGCTGCTTGTCCACTACCTATATAGGTAGCATATTAACCAAAATGGAGCCTGTTAAGTGATTTGAAAATGCTCTTCATAGGCAGCTACTTTGAGGACCACACAAATAGCTAGCAGCTGACATGCTATAACCTAAAAGCTTTGTTCAAAATCTTTGAAAAACATTCATTCACAGACTGTCTATGTTATTCGAAGTGCATGGGAGAATTGTTTCCAAATGTTAACATTGCTAAGCTAACTGCATGATAATCTATAAAAATATGCAGCATGCACACATTTGGGGGAACAGTCTTTTCTTAATTAGTGTTTTTTTAATTATTTTTTTTAATATTAGACCTTTTTTGTGAAAGTTTCAAATAAATATAATTATATTTATAATCAACGTTTCTTAAATCCTTCAGTAATCTTGGACAAATTTTTTCACCTGAGCTTATCATAATGCATTCTGGATTGAGAGGTGTTGCTTCCTACCCTTTGGACCAACCTTCGTCTTCATTTGTGTAGCTACATTTTGATTGCTCTAGAAAAAGGACTATGAGAATGGACTCTGGATACCAGTGCTGATGCATGTCTGTGATTGGGAGGTTGATTGCTGATTGGTGGACTAGAATGTTTGATTGTCACGAAACCCCGCGGCCATGGTGACAAGTGACACGCACTGCGACATCTCACAAACATAACTGTTCAAAAGCATAAACGCGAAACATATATACAAGTCTACAAGTGGACATGCACATATATATAAAGACTCACCTGGATCTGTTGCTGCAGGAGGTTGATTTTGTGTTGTTGCTGCAGAAGTTGCTGCTGTTGTCGTGCAATCTGCGGATAGAACATGTCAAACTGTCACATACGTCAAACTCTTTTCCAACAAGAGAGGACATTATTTGTTCAGAGGGGGGGTCACATGCATGTAAGGTGACTGTAAACTGTGTTTGAAGCTCTTGAGTATGCTTTTGTATTTCATACATATTTACCAAGGAGTGGCGCCCAGTCCTGGAGCGTTGTGTGTGTGTGTGTGTACAGGGGTGTGTTAGTGTATGTGTTAATACAGATCTGTTTTCTTTTGTAAAACTGAGCTCCCCAGAAGCAACTATGCACACAACAAAGCTAAAGCACACACTTCTATATGCAAACACCTTTGGTCTCCTGCCTGCGTGCTGGAGGGGACCTAAACACTACACACATACTTATAGGGGGAAGGAGACACAGAAGGTTTCTTTGTGAATGTGGTTCAAAGTAAAGAACGTTAGAATGTTAGTTACACACCCATACCTCTCCTCCTCCACATTCACTCACTGATAGCACTGTTCTGTACTATTTAAATGTCCAAAACAGTGGCATAATCAGACATGATAGGAAGGAATGGGTCATTAATTTACTAGTTATCCAATATATTGTTACTGAGGCTGACTAGCTTATCTTTCTCTAATTAGTTTTTGTTTTAATCATTTTACGGTGGTGCTCTAATTAACATCCTGACAGTGTTGGAAAAACCCCGTCAAAAAACGTATATTTTGAAATGTATCCCCTTTAAAGCAACATCAGCCATATTTTTTTTTTTTACAACCTATAAAAATTTGTCTCAAGACTCCTGCATTCTGTTCCATTAAGTTGTGCTTCATCTAGCCGTTTATGAATACAAAAAAGCATCTTATGTTAATGGCCCCTAAGAAACAAATGATCAGGGTCAAGAGAACCTGGAACCAGCCTAATATACAGGGCTTCCTTAACCCATCAAGTAGTCAATTTAGAAAATATATTATGAGAAGTTAAAGCATCAGGCATTTTCCTGTCTTTTCTAAGAGCAGAATGCTTTGCAAAGTGACAAAATTACAGCCTATCGGAACAATATAATTGATTAATATACAGCTAAGTGGTTCAGGATTTTTGACCAATGAGATTTCATTGGGTACAACACCAAGCTTTATTGCATTATTTGCCTGGTTAGGACCTGCATTAGACGACCAGGCCAATTCAACCACACAACATTTTTTGAGGACATATTGTGTAAAATAAGTGTTTATTTGATATAAACATTTATATTTAATTTTCATGTTATCATTAAACATTTATATCAACAATATAGTAGCCTATCCTGCTCTTATCACCTATTATTGTCTTCAGTCTTTGGAAAATGTGCATAATTGATGAAACACATGACGAAACATGGTGAAAAAGTGCTAACCTGGTCCTGTTGCTGTTTCGCCAACTCCATTTGCTGGCGCTGTTTTTCAATTTGCGAAGCGGCTAGTTTCTTCTGCTCCTCATGGGCGGCCAGTAGCTGCTCTCTGAGACTGCTGAGCTGCGTGATCATCCCCATCAGCTGGCGCTCTTTCTCCGCCAGGCTGTCCGGGGTGCCTGCAGGGGTTAAAGGGCACAGGCCACAGGTCAAAGAGCTAGGCGAGGAAGCCTTGCACCCAGATGTGCTCCTCCTGAGATGTGCTATCGCCCTGGTGTTTACCTAGCCGTCGCTACACATTTAGCATGAGCTGACCTCCGACCTCGGCTAAAGATGAGAACGCTCTGACATACGATCAGCCCCAGAGCAGACGGCAAGAAGGGAAGACTAAATCACTCGACAGGATGTCGTTGCACTGCGGTATTACCCCAGACTACCACCAATCAAACCGAGTGTGTGTTTGTGTGTGCTAAACCCCTAAAGCGTTCAAATGTCCAAATGAGCACGTCTGTTAATGAGTTCATGTGTGTGCAATTGTGCGTCTGAGGTCATATATCTGCGTTAAAACACACACACACAGACACACGTCTGCACAGCCCACAATCCCCCATTGTTCTCGGCCTCTACCTTCTGAGGGGCCACATTCCTCACCAGGGAAAAACAGATGATGAAGAAAGCTAGAGAAAGAAGGGAGTCATAGCAGCTGACCTGACCCTTTGCCCTGGCAGGAAGGTGAGAGTAGGCTCCATTTGTAACCCCTTCACAAACACACACACACACACAGACTCAACAATGCACAATAAAGGCAACTGTCACAGGCGGCCAGTTGGAAAAATAAACCTGCAGCTCCCCTTAACAGCTCCCAGACTGGGCTTTCACAAGAGGGTGTGCATCCGAGCCGGCATGGGACAAGGGAAGGCCTTGTGTGAAAACTGACAAGTCTTCCAGAGAAAAAAGCGATCAAAGTGATCTTTATTTCTCGCTTTCATTCCGAGACCCTGTTGCTCATACCAGGGATGGTTTATCTAGATTTTATTTTTTTATTTTTTTTATATTCAATTGAAATATTTACTTAAATACTTTTAAACTGTGGGGGTTAAAAAGAGATTAATATAGATTAAGCATCAAACGAGTCATACATTTTACAATATTGTTTTCTAACAAAAATGTGTGCATGAATTCATAGCTTTTACGGAAATATAATAAAATATAACAAACCCTAATATTAAACAACAAATATACATTTATTTTTCTGATGCATATAAATCTATAATTTCTTGTTTATTTCTTGTTTCCCTGGGAAAAAAATCCTCACCTTGTCAGAACACATTATATAGCAAGTTAAAAAATAGTTTAAAACGCATCTCGAGACTCGTGCACTCTGTCCAGCTGTTTTTTACTGGAAGGACGAATCCTAAAGAATCCAACGAGAACGCATCTGATCAATGTTGGTGGACATGCCCCATAAACCAACAGGCTTTCTTAAGACAACTATACAAGATGAATGTCTTGAATGTAGCTTTGCACGTCCCTAACTCGGTAAGACTGTCAGTAAGACTGGGGCGGCAGTGGCTCAGTGGTTCATGTAGATTGTCTACAAACCGGAAGGTTGGTGGTTCAATCCCCCGTTCCACCAGACCAAGTGTCGAGGTGTCCATGAGCAAGACACCTAACCCCAGCTGCTCCCGACGAGCTGGATGGGGCCTTGCATGGCTGATACCGCCGTCGGTGAATGAGTGAGTGAATGGGTGAAAGCGCCATTGGGTGGCCATTGGGTCTGTGAAAGCGCTATAATAGTAAGATTCACTCATTAAAATGTGACTGAACCTCTGACACAATATACTCTGGATGCCCTAAGACTAGAGTTGACAGAAAGTGTTTATACACACACATAAGAAAATACACCAGCCTCATCAATCACAACCGAAGGCTTTTTACCTCGGCTACTGAAAGTCCAGCTTTGGATCAATAAGTGGTTTCCTCTCTCTCTAAACATCCTAGGGCTGCCTTTACTGCCTTGCCTCATGTCACAAACCACAGTAATTAACCAATTTGTAACAATGTAATACCTGTCAAGCAGCTCTCACTGCTAATTAATGACTGGGCTTAAAAGACAAATCCCTAAAGCAGCACAGTACTGTGTTACATGAGGGAGAGAAGGAGAGAAAGAGCTTAGCCCGAGGCTCTTATTGTCCATTAACACTTTTCTTTTCATCTTTTCTTCTATCTTTCTCTCTCATTCTGTCTCTTTCGCTTAGTAATTATCTCCTATGTGGTTAACACAGGCTGTTCTTTACTGTGCAATTTATTTAGTTGACTTTTTAAAGTACAATTCTCTTACACAGTATCTGTTCTATAAAATTCATAGACTGGTCAATACAGTGCTTCAGCTGTGCGATAATACATTATATAATTCCATAATATATCACCATTCTACTATCAACCATCGTTTCATTTCAGGGAATATATCTGCTAGTGGCAAAATAGCATGCGATGAATTTGCTTTATACAATACCATTTTTATGAACGTTTCTCTGCTTAATACTTTTTTCTATTGTTTTATAAAAGAAACTAGAAGCAATTTCAGCTGTTTTACTAACTTCCACTGTTTTGCAAACTTCACACTCTTGCCAAAACCCAATTCCCAAAGACTTGTAAGCAAACCCGAACGTGAACATAAAAAATTATTCACAGACTGAGAGTGTTCCTGATTCGCTAAAACATGATAGAACCTTGCTTACAGCACCCCATTTAAAATGATTTTTATAAATTTGTGTGCCCATTTCTGATCTTGAAGGTTACGCACACACAGCGAGATGACAGTTGCGAGGGACCTCTCCAACCGTTAGTCATCGGTGGTCATGGCAGGGATGCTCTCTTGCTAAAATGTCATCACAGTGGGGTTACGGCACCGACGGCTTGATCAATGGTGTTCCCTTTTCTGCTCCAGGAGCGTGAACAAGCTTCGTTTGATTAAATATTTCTGAGCTTAATGAAGTACATTTACTCCAGAGTTAGCCTTGCACACCACTAGCGCGAGGAAGGCTTGTTAAAGTGACAGAGGAGTGTGTTCTCGCTACGGCTGAGCGACCTAACAGGATGTATCATTAACCGTGCTAACATGAGCAAGGCTGTTGCTTAGCAAGTCATCCCGGCAGATCATTAACCGGGGCAGGCGAAGAGGCTAGCGCTAGGTGGATTAGCATACCTGAGCTCTCGGAACGCTTGAAGATGTCTAAGGTGACATTTGATACGTACAATTATAAGTATGATTATAGGTTCAATTCAAAACTAGAACTGCAAAACCAGCTCTTCTGACCCAATCGCCGATTGGAATAGCGAAAGGTGTTGTTGCTCTAAAAAGAGATACAACAGATATATCAATGGCCGAAAACGGACATGCATACTCTCAGAGGTCAAATGAAGACTCAAAGTCTTTCGTTTTACCTTTGATCTCCCCAAAGTTGCCAGAACCCATGGCCAATAGCTTGTCCTTCCAGTCCTTAGACAACAGCCTTTCAATACTGGGGGCCTCTGGAGGGGAGGGAGAGACAGAAAGAGAGAGAATTACCACAGGCAGGCAACATCACAATATAGCTCATTTAAAGTCCATTTGCTGTAATAAAGGCCCGTCTCTCTAATGGCACCAACAGTAGGGCAGGAGGAAGAAAGGATGGAGAGAGAGAAGGAGAGAGAAAGACAGAGAGAGAGAGAGAGAGAGAGAGAGAGAGAGAGAGAGAGAGAGAGAGAGAGAGAGAGAGAGAGAGAGAGAGAGTTGAGCGGCTTCCTCACCTGCTGTTAGCCAATCATTAGCCCTATGCTCCAGCTAACACAAAGAGGCTCTTAATGCACTGGGTACAATGGACACATTATCGAGGCTGTGCGCTTTGTTTTCCTAATACACCCCGCGGACCCGCTAACCCCTCCACCCCACACGCTAATTACTAACCTGCCAAGGACGGACGTCTCAAACAAGAGAGAGAGAGGAAAATTACAACAACTCTCAACACCCCCCCCCCCCCTCCCCCCCTCCTCCCCCCCTTCTTTATGCCTCTCTAACACAAATACATGCGTACACCAGTACCAGCATTACCATCACAACAATTAACCGCGATATGAAACAAAACAAGAGGAAGAGAGCGACACAAAGAGTGAAAGAGAAACAAGGTGTGTGTTTGTGGTAAATGACAGCATCAGTCAGTATTTTAGCTGGCTGCGAAACTACACACACACACACACAGAGACACACACACCAACTTTAGATTCAGTTGTGATTTCCTTTACGTTTCATTTTTATCCCATTTGTCATTCTACATTTATTTATTTACTTATTTTTATTTAGCCTTTATTTAACAAGGAGATAACCTCACTGAGATTAAAATATCTTTTACTGGAGTGTCCTGGCCAAGATAGTCGCTCAAAGAGTAACTGTTACATCCTGTTTCTCAAAGAGTAAAGCATGATGCTTGCAATGGCAAGGTCATGGTTAAATTCCATATCATTTTATATGTTAAATCATGTCTAAAAACACCTTTTTCCTCATTCAGACTCATTTAAATCTTAATCACTAAGCCCTTCGGAATATGAAAACTCACATCTCCAAAAGCAAAAACACACACACGAACTTTGCATTCAATTATGATTTTCTTTTCCTTTCCATTTAATTTTCATTCTTTCTTTTTGTAATTCTACATCCTGTAGCTCAGATAGTAAAGCATGACGCTTACAATTTGAAGGTCATGGGTTTGTTTCCATATTATTTTTATACAATAAATCGTGTCTTGAAAAACATCTCATTTAAATCTTAATCACTAAACCCTTCGGAAAATTAAAATTCACATCTCCAAAAGCAAAAATACACACACATACACAGTTAAATACTTTTCCACCAAAGTAAAGACACCAGGTGGCACCATTACCAATTCAGCTGGAGTTAATACACTGAGAACTAACCTCTGTCTTTGCGACTGATAAACTGTACAGGCCCCAGGTGGGCGGCACACACACTTACACTCAAAGACTTGCCAAATAGAAGAAGACTTGCCAAATATTTCATGTCTGATTAGTGCTCAAACGTCCTCAGTGGCATGTCTGCAATTTAAAGTTTGTCGCATTCTTGCCTCTTGAGTATTTCTGAATATCCTTTGTGTTCCTGGTCTCGTCTCTGGACTTCAAAGTTTGACACTTTCAGGCCTGTAACAGACGTCTTTGGTTTATGGACGCACTGCCTCACAGTTCAGCCAATCACCTTCACTGCTGCTGTTTCTACTGACAGCTGTCTCACTGTCACCCCAACAGGTGTTATTAGCCCTCGGCTCTCTCTCTCTCCTCTATTCTGGCATCTGTGCGTAACAATGACAGAGGCTTTTAAGCCCAAGAGCTTTGACAAGCGAAAGGTTTCAACAAATGGCCACTCCATCTATCCCCCCTGCCTGCTCTCTCTCTCCATGTATAGTATAGTACTTTCTCCCTCTCTCTCACCACGGCACCATAATAGTTATTATTTTTATTTATTAACATGGCTGCTATTGTCCCTGCTGACAGCTCCTTCACTTTAACTATTAATAAAAATAGAAAGCCCTCTTTTATGTGACAGCCCGCAGCGGGGATCTGTGCAATCGTTTACTGCAAAATGGACAGAAAAGGAAGCAGATATGCTGATGTATCTGTCTTTCGTGGCAGCTCCCCTGTCTTGATCTCGTTCTTCAACCCCTCTCATGGTTTGGGAAGAAAAGGACTGTTGCGGCGCCCCTTTTCTGCGGGCCTTTGATAGAATCACCTTTCAGTTCAGCCTGTGATGTTGCTTTTAGTTTTTTCAATATGAAAAACAACATATGCTGGACTTTTAAATGCTAAAATAAGGACTTTAACCTGCCACTTATTCGTGTACTAATAATACAGACTCTTATTTAAATGTAGTGAACTAAAAATCACAAATGAGATCTCTTTAATATCTCAGTTGTTTTGATATATTGAGATTAAATGGATTGAGGCTTTAAATTAATTGAGAATTTTGTCCTGCATCTCAAATTTTAAAAAATGGCCAACTAATTTCAAATGTCTCCCCTACAGCTTCAAAAGTCTCACACTATGCTCAGAATTCTGAAATGAAAGTCAGATATTTTAATATGAACTCAAACATTTCTCATCTAATATTTACAAAGACCAAATCTAACCATATTGTAATAGCTCTATACACTTACTGCATGCTCAAATTGGTCTCATTTGTATCTCATTGATATCTCTCAAGGAAATTTAAAAGAAACGTATGAGAAAAATGTAACACTTAAAATAAAACCCATGTGAAAACTCCAAGTCTGAATGAGAAAACTTTGAACTATAAAATGTTCTATAAAGATAAAAGATAAGCTGCAATTTAAAACCCATATTTGCTATGTGAATAGGTTATCGACATTCAAAATATGTGCATAAGAGAGAGAAACAGAAGTGAGAGAGGGCAGAAACTTTGCGACTGGTCCCATTATTTCCAATACAGCAGCACAGCTTGTATGCATTAGTGTAAAGAGGTCTTGTTTGTGGCAGCTGGGTGGAACCCTATGCGCCCTTACAAGGTGGGGAGCACATTTTTGGTGGGACCAGCACTGCCTGAGGGGTACAGCAGAAAGAGAACAGTGGAAAAACACAGAGCAAGGGTGTGTTTGAGAGAAGGAGTGTTTGTGCCAAAATGTGTCAATTAGAAATAACCTGATTGAGAGAGAATGTTCGTTAAAAGATATAAAGCGAGAAAGTATTATTTCTTTCTAATGTTCCTATTTGAAATATTGTTTCTAAGCAGCTTTAAAAAAAATGTTCCAAAAATAGTGAGCAAATTAAAGGTAGTGGTGAGGGGAAAAATAAATAAAATAGTATATATAAAATAGTATTAGCATAAATATGTGTATATTAATAAGGAAGGAGCAATTCACACACACACACACACACACACATATATATATATATATTCTATGGACCCCCTAGCACCCATTCCCCATGGGGTCCCTTGATCAGATTTTGAGAACACCTTGACCATCAACCTGAACTGTCCTTATACTCATCCACCTCTATTTGTGTCTTGAACAGGATGTTCGGCAGACAGATCTGACAAACAAGTGAGTCAGTTGCACACACTCATCTGTAAACTGAATATGAGATCACAAACTCACCCACCACCACACCAACCATGCCAAAATGGGAGAGGAGAAGTTAATCTGACAATAATAGGTGAATTATGGGGCATTATTAAAGTTCACTGGCTCCAGAGGACTCCAGCAGCTGGCAGAGCCAAAGCCAAGATGTCCAGCCACCTGGCCCAAAAGCGTGGAAGAACCACTCAAGATGTGCCACCAGCGAGTGCACTTTCATTCTTCACACACCATGGTCCAACTTGGTCTGGGCTCTGTACTTCACAAATAATTTCATCACCCACTCTGTGTTTCTCTATGCCTCGCCGTTGCGGTGCTATTTTTTGCCCAAACGTTCTGACTCAGCCCGGCCAACTCCATTTTTCCAATTATCTCATATTTGCAAAGCCAATGAGATGTTTTGTTCGGAAAAGAAAGAGGGGGCGGGGGTTGGTTTTGGAGGAGTGGAGAGAAGCGGGGAGACGGTGGGGGAATGAGACAAGGAGAGCCAGGCCCACAGTGGACAACAAAAGGGCCAGTGTCCCAGCGCCAGCTTCACGCGGGTGGGGAGGGCTCACAGGAAAGGCCCTGGCTCGGGCCCGGCCCAGCACACAGCACCAGAACAGGCTCCACATTGACTGCTCTTGGCAGAAAGCAACACGCTGCAGCAGCTCCCAGTCGCCACAGAGGTCAGGATTGAATAACCAATTATACAAGCACCCAGCTAGTTTATCTAAGGTTGGACAGAAAGGACCGTCACACACTTTGAGTTCAGTGCCGTATATATGTCCATCACGAGACGCGCACACACAGGAGTCCAGCTGCGCTTAGATCTTTGTAAGGAGTAAACACAAACACACAAAGATGGGTTTCAATCACAAAACTAGTAATTAATTACAGCCTTTGTGACTAAAACACTATAATCAATGAATGCAGTCCAGATCAGTAGTCATTTAGGGTGTCATGTTTAAAAAAAGTTCATGAGATTTTAAAGAGCAAACGGCAGAAGTTTGATACAGAAACAAACACACTGTGCAAACTCTGCTCCTGAATTCCCCCGTCAAATGAAAAGATGATTATAATCACCCTTGATGATCAATTTATGTACGGCTGTTATTTGCCCAGAGACCATGTTGAAAATTCTTTCTAAAGGACGTTCAAACATCAGCAGTCGCTCGTGTTTTCTCCCGGCACGGCAGACACTGTGAGACTGTGAAACGCACAGAGCAAGAAAAAAAGAGGAAAAAAAAAAAACATCGGACCAAATCTCTCATCAAAAGCCGCCATTCAAGCTAAAAGTCCCAATTATGTGTGCTGATGGAGGAAAAGGCAATGCTTAGCAACACTCTGTACAAACATTCTCGCACACAGAGAATGTCTTCTTTCTTGTTTTTGCTCAAAAAACGTTCCTGT